AGGCACAGCTGGCACACAAATTGAACCCTTGGCCACACCTGTAACTTGTTTGTCAACCAGGACCTGAGAGTCCAGGAAGACCCCCAGTCCAGAGTTGGGCAGTTTAACCCATTCAAAACCAAGGGTGGAAAGTCCTCAGAACCAGACAGACCAAGCACCCACAGCCACTCAGTCTTGCTAGGATTGAGCCTGAGCCCGTTCCTCCTCATCCAGACCCCAACAACCTCCAGGCCAGTGTTGTCCAAACTTGGCCGCTTTAAGATGAGTGGACTTCAACTCCCAGAACTCCCCCGCCAGCCTGGCTGGGGAGTTTTGGGAGTTTAAGTCCACTCATCTTAAAGTGGCCAAGTTTGGACAACACTGCTCCAGGCACTGGGACAAGACCTTGACCACATCACTTAGCTGGTCAGGGACAAGATATATAACTGGATATCATCAGCATACTGATGATACTTGACTCCAAACCAATGGATGACCTCCTCCAACAGCCTCATATAGGTGTTAAGAGGAATAAAAGTGTCGAGCCTTAAGGCACCCTGCAAATCAGGAGCTTTGGGCCCAGCCTCCCCCCTCCTACAGTGTACTTTTAGTATAAAAAAGAGTAGATGCATAGCATGGCCTGGAATATATATATGGGTAATACCAGGTGCAGAGACACTGAGGAGTTCACAGGGAAGATATTTCAAAGGCTGATAAGTTAGTTTCTCACACATTTTTAATGGTTTTGCACCCATGATTAATGAATGCTCAGTGTGTTGGGTATAAAAGCTTCACAAACCCACCCCCTGGCATGGACATGCCATGGCGGAACATTGCATACATACCTAGTGTCTGTCCCAGGGAGCTTTACATGTTTACTCCTGCAAGTATTTAATAAAACTTGTGATGATCCCACTAGCTTTCATCTCCTCTTTCTTGGAAGTCTCTCATGGATACTGGCCCCTGAAGGGCATTTAGATTTGCATTTACATGTGGGGAAACAATCAGTAAACACCAAAATAGAAGGCTTCTTGCTGGAGTGCCAATTGTGGAGAAGTGCCATCACCCTCTTCTGCAATTTAGATCAGACTCTTTTCAGACACATGGGCCTGAAGCCTCCAGAAATAAACACACACACACACACACACACACACACACACACCAGAAGACAGCGGTGGTGATAGATGTAGCTGTGCTAAGTGACAACAACATCAGGAAGAAGGAGTATGAGAAGCTGGAGAAGTCCCAGGGCCTGAAAGAACTGAAGAGGATGTGGAAAGTTAAGGCCAAAGTGGTCTCAGTGATGGTAGGAGCACTCGGGGTTGAGACTCCCAAGCTGGGAGAGGGGCTCCAACAGATCCCAGGAACAACATCAGAGCTCTGTCCAGAAGAGTGCAGTGCTAGGAACAGCTAAGATACTGTGCAGAACCCTCAAATTCCCAGGCCTCTGGTAGAGGACCCGAGATTGAGGAAGACACATACCACTCAGAGGGGTCAGAGGGGAATTTTTTAATATATGCCACTGAAATTCAAATAGATCCCACATCCTGACACTGGTTGGCTGGGCATGTATTCCTTCTTTCCAACTTTCCAACTTTGCCTGTGATCTGGGCCAAAAGTTTACAAAGCAGGCAAGGGGCAAGCCATGCATAGAAAATACAATTAGGGTCAGTTAGTGGCTGCACACTCACTTCATGCCACACTTGGTTGGTGCTATCCTTCGTTTGTTTTTCTGCAACTTGACCTCTTGTGTGGACCCAGCTTCTTTATGATTCAGTGTATTGTGCCACCCCAAAAGCGTGTTAATTCGGTAATTCGGTAGTATGTTGTGTGAAAGCAAGCTTTTCATTTGCGGACGGGGCGGCCCTTGCGAGCTTCCTTCCGAAGAGCAGTTCTAGACACGTCACGGTAGGCAGGTACGGCTCAGGCCGGCCTTACTTCATCCGCCCGCAGTTAAGCAATGCTATAACCGAGCTCCGAGCTCCGGGGATGAGGAGGGTGGGTGGCACCGGAGGGGGCGCCCGCTAGATTGGCAGCCGTACTTCCTGGGGTGAAGGGGGAGAGACCGTAAAAACCGGGGGAAAACACTTCAATCCAAAGGGTAGGATTGATTTGCATAGCGTGGAGGGAGCCAATCGGAACCGGCTGTGATGCGCGTCTGCCAATGGCGGTGCGACTGCTTGGCGCGAGCGGAGACACCCGCTGAACCGGGGTGAGATCAGCAGGAGGAAAGAGCGGCCGAGCCCCGGCTGGGACCAGCGTAGTGACAGGCGCCGAGGAGGACGCCCACTACGACCGATGGAGGAGAAGCGCATTTTGTGCGTCGGCCTTGTGTGCCTGGACATAATCAGCGTGGTGGACAGTTATCCGGAGGAGGACTCGGACACTAGGTACAGCCGCTGCCCCGCTGGGCAAAGGAGAAAGGCCCAGCGATGAGGCACGGCTGGGTGCAGACCGCGGAGGAGAGGAGCGCCGGCTTTCGCTCCGCTCGCACCAGCCCGTTTCCGTGCGTGTCGTGGGAGGAGAGCTTTCTGCTCTGTCCGGCTCCGTGTTCCAAAGCCCTGATGAGCAGGAGCCGGCTCGTACTTGGGGGATTTCGAGCCTCGGTTCCCCCGGCCGGGGCTCGGAGCACTCTGGCGCGCGGAACCGGTTCCCGGGGGGTGGAGGTGCTGCCCTTGCGTCCCGAAGCAGCCTTTCTGTCCCTTCCATGGTCTGGGGCCCCTTCCGAAGAGGACCGAAATAAGTGCAAAGCCCCGAAGCGCTGCGGCTCAGTCCGGTCCCTTGGCTGCCGAGAGGGCCTGTCAGAGCGGGACGCTGAGGCTGCTGCTGGCTGTGCTTCTTTCCAGGTGTTTGTCGCAGCGCTGGCAGCGCGGAGGGAACGCCTCCAACACCTGCACCGTTCTGGCCCTGCTGGGGGCCCCCTGCGCTTTTATGGGCTCGCTGGCTCCCGGTCACGCTGCAGAGTAAGTGCCAGCCGAACTTCGGGATGGGATCGGGAGCTGCCCTGCCCCGACAGAAGGGGAAGGGGAGAGCTGCGTGTCTCCACTCCACGAAAAACGTACTGACTTTATGTATTTGTATCCCCCCCCCCCTTACTACCTACAGCGTACAAAATGCTTCTCCTTCTCAGTGTCCCGTCTTACCTGTTCTGCAGTTATTGTTTTTTAATTTTTATTTTTTTGTCCACCGGTGCAGCCTCTTGCCTGGAGTTGAGAAGGGTGTACTGGATTTGCACCATAGATGAAACCAGCTCAGTTAAAGATCTACTGACTGTATGTTCACAACATGCGAAGCTTTGTGGGCTATTTTATGGCTTAATGTTTTTGTGTGTGTGTGAGCCTAGTCATTTAGTTTACAGTTCAAGGTATTGTGCAAATCAAGATAATTGGATTAATTCAGTACACAAACTATGCATGATGTGCAAATCTAACCGTGCTGTTATTTAGTTGTGACGTGTAAGGAATGAGACCCCCAATATATGTTCTGTTATGAAGTGACCGTAAGGTTCACTCCCACAACAGCAGAGTTCATTCAGCATGTTAAACCAAGTAAGATAAAGACCTGGGACTGCATTCACATATGTATTAAGGTTAACTACTATAAAAGCTTGTTTTGTATGGCTCAGCAAGTTGTGTGAACCCAGCCCATTTAGTTAATGGTTCAATGTATTGCTGGTACAACCCTGAAAATGAGTTAATTCAATGATCCAAGTTAAGTGTCTTCTGGTATTTCAAATACAGTTCAAATCAGGCTGCAGGGGATTTGTTTCAATGTGATGGTGGACTTCGTTTCTTTCTGGCTCTAACCATTCTCCAAAGATCTCCCTGATTTTTGTCTCTATTTGCCTTTGTTCTCTCATTTAACCTTGTTTCTCTTCCTAGCTGGGAGGTTCCAAGCCATGTCCTTGGAATGAAAGTCTGTCACGTGCTGGTGATAATCAGATGATGAACATGTCAAACTTGGCATGAGATTCAAACACAGATGCCAGGCACAATTCTTGTTTCTACCTCTGCTTTTAGAAGAACTTATCTTCATTAATATTTTTCTATTTTTTAGAAAAGAATTGTTTCTTTTAAAATAATTTCAACAAGGAATCTTGTGACACCTTAAAGACTAACTAATCATATTATTTTATGCCCAATGAATAACACAGTCTTGTGAAACTCTTCAAGTTAATAATAGAGTAATCCTATGCATGCCTACTCAGAGAAAGAGTAATTAGCTCTTATTCCTAAATATGCATGATTAAGAGTACAGCAAAGAAATGCAGTATAACAGAAGCTTCTGTGAACTAGATTCCACTTCACTGCATGTATGAATCATTATCCTCAATTAGCCAATCTTTGTGAGGTGTACATAGAACAAATAGAAACTAGAGAGTGAACAGTCAATGAAAGGCAAAACGTATGGGCTGATAACTTAATTAAAGCTTAAATTACATGTGATACAAACACAATGACCATTCAGTTTGGCAGTAATTGGCGATTACACAGAATTATTCTAGCATTGCTAAGTTAATTAACACTTGTGGTGGGACAGAAACTGTTGGAAGAACAGAGACAACAGTTAATTAACTAAGCGATACTAGCATGATTGTCTTATCACTGGCACCCACACTTAAGAAATGGTCATTATATTTCTCTGTGTGTCTATGTATGTGTGCGTGTGTGCATGTTTAGGTAAGTAAATGGTCACAAACTATTAATTTAATTGCCCTTTGACCTTATAGTTTATATTGCACTAAACTTTCCATCCAGGTATGTGAGGGACGTGGAACTTGCAATCCCAAGTTTTCATGTGGTCCCTATGTCTCATTTTTGTGGCCCTCAGAGTTGACTCCAACCATGATTGCTGAAACTGATGACACATTTTCCTACCTTTTTTAGGTGGGAAACATGTGGAAACCATAACATAAGCCCTAAAAAGGTACTTCACAAGTAAGAACCAAAGGAAAGCCTCCCAAACACACCCCAAATTTACTTACCTACTTACTTAAGTGTTTATTCAATTTAGGCGCTGACCCCAAACCAACTCTGGTCAGCTTGCAATATAGCAAACCAAAATAAAAATACAATACAGAATAAATAGACAAGATTGAGTCAGCTGCTTAATCCAAAACATATACAGAAAACAGATGCAACAAGGAGATCCACCCTAACCCAAGGTGCGATGGCCTATCCAACTTGCATTTCTAAGGACCACAAAATTGATAGATGTGTCCCTTGGCTCACTGTTGAGATGTGCAGGTGGCTCTCATCCATAGTCTCATCGTCTGCAGTTTTGCATATCTGGTTGGAAAGCTTAGATCAGACCTCATTATCTGCAGTAATGAGTTTCACATTTTAGGAAGGGTTTTGATGTATTTTGCACAGGTGCAAAATGATAGGGTTTTGCACATGGTAAAATACATTTGTCATTATCTTGTTACCCATTGACTCATTAGCCACAGTGGTTCAGCTGTAACAGAAACCTACAAACAATGAGGGCCACTTTTATAGACTTAAACTCCCAGAATCCAGCCAACATGGTCATTCTGGGAGATGAAGTCCATACTTCTGGAGGATGTCAAGACTGGGGAAGGCTGCACTACACAGTATAGTATGTACATACATTGTAGTGGAACATGCACCCAAAACAATTGGATCAGATGCAAATGATTATTTTATTCATTACAATGAGTCACTGGGCAGATCTCTGTTCCATGAGTATTGCAATCTAAATATATACAAAGACACAATGGAGGAAGGTAGAAGTGGAGGGAGAGTGTGCAAGTATAATAATTTCAAATGTTGCGCCTTAGTTATAAAAGAGAATCACAATAAAGGAAATACTTTGGGATATAGGTAGCCCATGGAAGCTCTGGGGTGTATCTCACCATAGGTCCTGCTTCTTGCCATAGATTACCCTAAGACTCAAAAGGTTGCCCACCCCAATAGTTCGATATAAGAATCACAAAGGGGAAGTAATCCAGAGTCTTTCCAGAAAAGGAGTGTGAAGAGGGAATCTGACAAGAACAGCAAACATTGTGAGATATTCTGGGAAGCAGAATAAAGGGGCAAAGGGGCAGCAAAGAAATAAGAGAGATGTTCTGGGGCAAATAAGACCTTCAGATGGCTGAGTACACAGGATTGGTAGAGATCACAGAGAGGGAGGAACTATGGAAATAAAAATACAGAGAGATAAAGAGAAGCAAGCCCATTGAAAGATTAGAAGGTAAGGGGAAGACATTTATTCAGGAACTTGTTCAGACCAAAAGCCAGTGAGGGAATTCAAGGAGTGGCTTTTAATAGATGAAAAATCTTGGCAAAGGGGGTCCTGGCTAGACAAGAAGGAATGAAAATCCCAGGATAATTTGATTTTAACCCAAGAAAGCTGCTACTATAAAATGTGTTTGTATGTAACACTTACAACATATTAACAGGGCAATCCAAAGCATGTTTATTGCCAAGTATGCACTGGAACACAGTTTGCTGATTTCAATTAAGTTACTTTTAGCTGTTGTAAAAACTGCTGAGAAATTTAGAACATCCCGTTAAGATAGTACTTTTTAATTTTGTCTATTAATAATCATAATATTAAATCAGTTCCTAGCTTTCCAAAACAATATTTTTTCATAGCTGATTTGAGAAGGCAACCAAACCATGATGTCTCACTGAATGGCTACAGAGCCGTCAGCCCTGAATCTCAGTGCTTCATCCTAGTTCTCTCACATGAATCAATCACATCTTTATTACAGTCATAGGCCAGCATACATCCTTTTACATGATTTCCAAAACATGCCAAAATTGGGTTGATGTGTAGTCATCTTATTTCAGTTATGGAGCCTAGTTTTAATATCAGGGCTCACTTTGCCCAGTTAGAAAGAAATCAACAAAAATAAATACAGGAGATTGTCTTGATATGTACTGAATGGACTGGAGCTGTTGAGAGTGCAATTTCAGATGAAGAGTCTAACAGAAATGGATGGGCTGCTGAATGGTTACTAACAATTGGATTAAGAGACAGACTGACTTTCAGATGAAAAGGTAATGGAGGTGGCTCTTGTTCAAAGCAATTAACCTGAGGTAATTTATGGCCATATTCACACAACATGCTTTATCTGGGTACTGAATTAATCTCCTTTTTGGTTCACATAATGCATTGAAACATAAACCGATGACACAGATGAGTTCATCCCACATGCTAAGCCACAAAATAACTAATCAAAATAGTCACAAAGCAAACTTGGCATGTTAAGCAAACGTATCTGCTAGGTCCTGAAGTGAACTGGTGAAACAAGTTGGTGAGCATAGCCTGTGTAAAATCAAATATTAAGATATCTTCAAGCTCTAAATTTATGATCTTTGGCTTTCAAGAAACAGACTTTTATGGAACTGATTTGAGGCAGATCAAGTACCATTCTGTTCCCATCCTTCTGGTTATTACAGTAAAAGTCCTGTCTGTTGACTTCTGGGCAGCATATGCTGCAGTGCGCAGAGCTCTGGGGCAAATGTAATGAGACTTTTTTGATGAGTACTAAGCACAGAGGGCATCAGAGCCCTCAGCTTCCAAAATGCAGAGTTCATTTTTATCTGCTTTCTTCAGACAGTTACCTCCCTCTGTCCTCACAGCTTCTAGCACATTGACAACCCTTGCCAAGCAGCAGTAACGGCCCTGCTGTCTAGAAGAGCAGCTCTGGAGCATCTGCCTTCTGTTCCTCCATTCAGAGAATCTCACCCCCCAAGAAGATGCTCATGTTTTCTGCCCTCCCAGCTTCGTCCGTGATGATTTCCAACGCTATGAGGTGGATCTCACCCATGTGGCTTTGCATCTGGCATGCAGCTTGCCTATTTCAGTGGTGATCAGCAACTCAGCCGCAGGCACCCGCACAATCCTGCACGCTGCTAGGTGCGTAGGTCGAGCATTTCTCACAGTGAATTCTAATTTTTTTTCTCTCCTCTTCCCTGGACCCAAGCTTCATCTTGTCTGATTTCCAGCGCCGCAAGGTGGAAGTTGCCCACTTGGTCTGGCAAAGCCAGGGGGAGACACCGTGTGCCTGCTGCCTCATCAACTGTCACAATGGTTCTCGGACAGTCACTCTTTATGACACGTAAGGCCTAGCCCACTTTGGCTCTGCTGCCTCCAACCCTCCCTCTTCTGCCAATGGGTGGCACGAAAGGACTCTCTGCAGCCCAGTAGAGGCCAGGTGGCCTTGACTGCTCTGTGGAAGGTGGGGATTGGCCTGCTACAGCAACTGTCTTTGTCTTTTCATGCAGACATTGCAAAGGATATAACTGGGACCATTAAACCATATTAAATGGTATAATAGACCCTTCTTAGCTTCCCATTTTAGCTGCCTGAATACACAGTGGAGAAGCAGGCTCATAAAATTTCATCCTGTTTGTTTCAGCATATGGTTCAAACCTGTCTAGATGTTTTTCATTCTTTCTCTTCTAAACTGCTCCTCCTCACCCTTCATCCAAGTCATTAATAAAAATGATAAAGGCCTCAGGAAATAGCTGTGTGGCATTCCACTTGATACTACTCTCCAAGCTGTTGTGGAGCTATTTATAAGTACTATTGGGATGCATTCACTGGGTCAATAGCTGCATCATCTAGCCCATATTTTACCATTTTATTAATGAGGATATCATGAGATTTGATTGAATGCTTTGCTGAGGTCAAGATATATTATGTCCATGGCATTCCCTAGATCTATTAAGCTAGTAATTCTGTGGGAAAAGGTTAAGCTTGTTTATGACAAGCCCATGCTGGCTGCTATTAATTCTTGCATTCCTATCTAAGTGTTCATAAACATGATGTTTAAAATCTGCTTGAAGATCTTGCCCAGTATAGAGAATGGGAAGTATGGAATGAGAAATATGAAAAAGGATGTTTGGTAGAATGAACAAGGCTGTTGATGAGAAATAGATGCATATAAGAGAAAGGTTGCTCAAAAATTAGAATGAGAGTAAGATGTTGTATAATGTGTATAGAGAGAAAAGGTAATCACAAAGAATATAGTTAAAGAGAACAAGGAACAGTTACGATGAAAAGAGGCAAAGAAGATGTTAAGCAATTTGGATAGAAATAAAAATTGTTTATTTGGATGAAGAGAGCTAAACAAGGACCTTCCAACAATGTGAGTGGTTATGAAATTAAAAATAAAAGTGATAAAATGATTTGGAATGAAAATGAAATTAGGAGAATTCTGAAAGGAGTATTTTGGAGAGTTGTGTGAGATGCTATAAATGTTAATGTCCAAGAACATATCAATGATAAGGAAGTAATAAATCCTGTGAGAATGTTGGAAAATAATAAGACTTGTGTAGCTGTAGATATTGTAACTGTTTTGCCTATGGAGTGATTGTAGTTTATTTAATGTGTTGAAAGACTACTACTGAGCCTGAAGTTGGGAAGTATGCTGTTAAGTATGCTATATAAAGGGAAAGGTAACAAGAGTGAGCAATGCAAAGCTACAAGTGTATTCGTATGCTAAGTGCCTGGTAAGTGTCTGGTAGAATTCTGACTGAAAGGATATGAGAAGTGACAAGCAGCATAATTTCAGAAATGCAATGCTGGACAAAGGATGTGCAAACCAGATTTTTCCTCTTCAGTAGATCATTGAGAGAAGTATGTTTGAGAGGGTTTATTGTATTATATGTTTCTTGATACATGATAAAAGGAATAGGATTGCATTATAGAATTTTGTGCAAAGATGGAATTTTGTGCAAAGTCGATTACTGAATGCAATGAGATGGAAATAAAATATACATGAGAATAAATGTTTAGAGAACAGTCAACTTTGAGCAGAGACTAAGATAGGGGTAAGATAGGATGTGTGATGTTCCTTTAGTTATTTAATATAAGAATTGATAAGTGTATAATTAGGAAAGCTTGTGGTAAAGTTAGAGGTGTGTTGGTTGGGAATATAAAAGTACATATACTTTTTTTGCAGATAACATGTTGTTAGCTGAGAAACCAAATTATTTGTAGCAAATATTAGATTGTATGATGCACCAAGCAATATGGATCTGAAAATTAATGTTAAAAAAAACAAGGTAGTTGTGTTCGACACGAAAATTGATTGAACAGCTATGAATTATACATAAATGGTGAAGAACTAGAGCAAGTAGATGAATTTGAGTAATTTCATACAATGTTTACTAAAGACACAGAAAACTGGATGGATAAATATTTAAGACATGCAACATGTTGGTAGAAAGGTAGTGTGTAGTATGTGGTCTATTGTGAGGAAAGATTTGTATCTTGAAAGGAGCAAAAATGGCTATGTGCAAGTTGAAGGCTGTTGGAACTGGGTACTTTGGAAGATGCTGTATACGTATATGTGAATTGAACACACAAGTGAATGACTGCAGTAGTATGAAATAAGTGTATGTAGTTTGGTTGCATAGAATTAATGAGGATCAAATTGCAAAACAAACGTATGAAGAAAGAGTGAATGGGCCAGGGGGAAGGGGAAGAGAGAAATACCTGTTGGATGGAGTTGATGAGATCTTGAGAAAAGAGAGGGGTGAGAAGTTAAAATAACAACAGGCACTGTATGAAATAGTGTATGAAATCCTCTCCAACCAAGGATGGAGAGGTCTGGAGAGATATTGTGAATGGTGTTGGTGTAAACTAGATTTAGTTATAATTCCTTTTATTTTATTAATATCATGCCTTTAACAGCTTTGCCTTACTATTTCTTACTTCTTTTCTAAGCTCTGTATAATGTTGCTTACCACAAAAGGGAATAGCCTGGTGGGTATGTATGCATGTATGTTTTCTTCCTTCTCATCTATTACTAATTATTATTTGCTAATATTATGAATCTCATAATTATTTGATAGCCAAAGGGATATAAATTATAAAACACTTTGTACTTTCAAAGTGCATATAGATTAATTATCATGCTGGTTATCAAATATGAGTAACTTGACTTTTTTGCCTAGCAAGACTTTAACACCTGCACAATATTCACACATCACTTAATCAGATCACTGAATCAACCCATTTTCAGCCCATGGATTGACACAATGCATTTACCATAAACTAACCAAATGTGGTAGATTTGCACAATACGCTAAGCCATTAAAGAATCATACCAAAGTTAATGCTAGCCAGTGCTAAATCCAGTCACTTGTTCTTTATCTGACCTGGTTAAGCACATTGTGTGAATGTTTGTGAGGAGAAATTGCTTTGCATGTAGTAAGCAGTGGGCCACTGCATAAACTTTTCTTTGTTCAATAGCTTGTAGTTATCAACCCCATCGGTTCATCATTGATTCCATTTTACAGATTGGAGTCCCTGAAGCTGAGAGAAATGGTTATCACCTAATAAATAGCCTGGCTGAGTAACCAAGAAATCCAGGGTCATATTGAATTACTCACCTTTCACTATTATTTTGAAGCCATAGAGTCAGCTCCCTCAAGTTGAGCTCCTAATTTACTTTGGCAACAGTATGACAGTGGTTTCTCATTGCTTTCTTCCAGGACGTTTTTTTTCCAGACTAGCTTACACTTATGGGATTTCTTGGTCAACTTGAAACCCAACCTGCCTTGTTTTTTTAAAATCAGCCAAGATAACAGGAAAATAAGAAAAATATCTTAAAACTACCCTCCATCAGAGATTCAACAACAATTGTTCATTTAGAGTCCCCTCACTAAGTTCAGAGCAGAACCACATCAAAGTGACCATAGCTTTGTTAAGAAATAGAATATCCAGTTCTTGGTTCCTTGAACTACATTTGTTCAGTCGTTAAGTCGTGTCCGACTCTTCGTGACCCCATGAACCATATTGCGCCAGGCCTTCCTGTCCTTCACTGCCTCCCTGAGTTTGTTCAGTTTCATGCTCATTGCTT